ATGCATGCATGCAAACAAATCTTTTGAAAGAAGGAAAGGAAGGAGGGCTGAGGGGCCATGATGTCAGTCACACAATCACTTCCTGAAGTACTAAGGGGATACAATTTCAGGGTTGCCAATGAAGCTGCAGCCGTTGCTTTCCCACCACCTGGGAATTTTATTTTCTGCTTACCCAAAGATCTCTTGCAGCACCATTAGGACATAGATTTTTATTACAAATCATTCCTGGGTTTACATTTGAAAAGTAACAGAGGAGCCTGGGAATGTTACTCAGTGGGAGGGCAATTGTCCAGCATCCAGGAGGCATGGACTTGATCTCGGGCACACCACACACACATACACACTCACACACTCACACACTCACACACACTCATACCACACACACACACACTCACACACCACACATACTCACATGTGCACACTCACACACACTCACACACCACACACACTCATTTATACACTGACACACACACACACTCATACACACACACACCACATATTCACATGTGCACACTCACACATACACTCACACCACACACACTCATTTACACACTGACACACACACTCACTCATACACACACTCATTTACACACTGACACACACACACACACTCATACACACACACACACACCACATATTCACATGTGCACACACACACACTAAAAACTTAAAAGAGGGAGGAGGAGGCTCACCAGCTAAAATGTTGTTCCCCTGGGTCCCCTCTGGCACCCTTGACCCCTTTCCCTACTAGTTTAGCTTTTGCCTCTTGGCTGAGGCAATCTTAGCTCCCTCAGATCTGCTCCACATGGTCCCTGTCCTGGGCAATGCCTGCTAGCCAAGAGACACCACAATCCATTCGGTTTTCCCAAGAGAAGGCCCTACCTGTCACAGGAACCCAGAGGTTGATGTGGGGGCACTGGGAGCATTTGTAGTCATATATGTGGGTTCCCTTTCAGAAGTAGGACAGACCCAAGAGGGAAGGCCTTGCCCTTGACAGCCTCTTACAAGGTCAAGTGCCAGCCCTGCCCCCTCCCCCTCCCCCGGGTGTTAGGAACCCGGGGTGCCCGCCTGACACTGAGTGAGGTGTCCCAGCTCTCTCACTTGCTTCCCAGAGGCCAGGTAGACCTGATATTCGAACTACTTGGTTTCCCAGGAGCTCTTGGCCTGGACGGGATTTAGGAGCAGACTTGTCTGCCGAGTTTCTTCTCCTTTGCTGTCGCTATGTCAGGGTTTCCCGAGATGTAGAAACAAAATAAAGGCGCGAAATGAAACCAGGCCGCGGGATTCTGATAAACAGAGAAAGCTTCTGATTTCTTCTGGGACCCTAGAGTTGCCAGGACATAGCAAAACAGAAACCAGACTTTCAGCCACCCGCAGCTGAGTCGGTTCTGGTCCTCGGTTTTCCCATAAGCGCTCAGAGTGGCGCCCTACCATTTCAGGTGACCTTAAACTCGGTCGTAATTAACCGGACCGGGGCGTGTGGTTCTCTCTTTCCACTTCGTAAGTTCCCACCGACGACTCTTCTAGAGATCAAGAGCAAGGAGGGGAAGACAGCAACCTTTATTATTTGTTTGGGGAAAGTGGGGGACCGGCATGGAATGGGGCTCGCGGCCGGCCCAGACCATGCTGGCGGTGACCGGGGCTGTGAGTGCGGCCAGCCGCAAGGCAGAGGCCCCAAGGCCAAGTAGGAACCCCAAAACTCAGCGAACAGCCTTCACTAAGTCCCAAAGGCAGCTTTCCCAGCAGGGTGCCCGACTCCCGCCGCCGGGACTTAGAAATCAGGGCCCAGCGAAGCCTGCTGTGCGGAGCTCCGTCGCCAACACGTCCTGCATTCCCGCTCACTACTCAGCCGCCACCAACCTGGTGCGGACAGCGCAAACGGAGAGTGCCCGCGAGCGCAGCGGGCGCCAGGTTTCCAGCGCTCCTACGGCGGCCTGCTCTTCCTTTCCCCGGGTCCCCCAGGTCTTCGCTGCCCCAGGCCCATCGCTAAACCGGGGACACCAGAGCCTGCTTCCTCCCGCAGCCTTAGGCTGGAGGCTCCGCAAAGCACCACCGGGACCACGGCCGCCCGCGACGTCTCTGAGGTTTGTTTCCCAGGACCTTGGGGGCCGAAAAGAGACTTGTGTGGCAAGGGTCCAGGAGAAATGAAAGGGGACCTTCCCTTCCCCCAAATCGCCCGCCTGGAGTGAGGGGCGTGGTCGATGGAGGCAGGGAGGGGGCCTCAGTGCTGGGGGCCGAGGCGAGTGGCACACAAGCCTGTGCTTAGGGCTCGGGTGGTTAAATGGAGCCCTTTACCGCGAACCCGGGCTTTTAGAACACTTGGGACTTCGCTCCTCCAGGAGCCACCTGCCTGGAAGTTCCCATCAAGTCTCAGGTACTACCCGAAGCGGATCTACCCCCGATAGGAAAGCATTCCTTTCTCTCGTCCCTGGCTGGGTGGCTCTGTTTGTATTACCTGATTATTCCAGGGGCTCCGCCGCGCAGACAGCGACAAAGCCACCTCATTCTGCACCGGGATGAAGAGCCGCCTTTGGAGACCCTGCTTGCCTCCAATGCCCCACTGATAACTGGAGAACTGGAGTCAGGGTCCCCATCTGTGCCTGGAGGATTCGACACCCTGAAATGCTGGTCCTTGTGCTTTGCGTCTTGTAACAATGCTGGGGTGAGCCAGTAAGGGGCCGCCCGGGGAAGCCTTGGATACACTTAGCAAGTACTTTGTGTGAGATTGGGTTCTTCAAATTTAGCAAAACGAAGGGGACCTACAGAGACCTGTTATGTTAGAAGACTCTGTACCCCTCTGCGAGCACCCTAATGAGTTCTACCCTTTCACAATTTGGCAGAGTTGATGGAGAAAAAGCTGAAACCTCAGTACACCAAGCCTTCTGGCCACTCAGACCTTTCCTTTGAACTGTAAGGGTTAGTCCAAATGACTACTAGGGCCTGCTACAAGAATTTTTCATAATAGCACTGCTAGGCTGCGTTGACCTGGGGGTAACTCCAAGGGCCGGAAGGAATTAGAGGGATACAGCCTTCTCTCTCTCTCTCTCTCTCTCTCTCTCTCTCTCTCTCTCTCTCTCTCTTTTCTCTCTTGTTTCCCTCCCTCTCTCTCTCTCTCTCTCTCTCTCTCTCTCTCTCTCTCTCTCTCTCTCTCTCTCTCTCTCTCTCTCTCTCTCTCTCTCTCTCGGGATTTGTTCCTTCTAGGCAGCCAAGGTTGCAGTCTTCTTTCTTTCTTGTTTTACAACTGTTGGTGAGGGTGAATTAAGACCTGGAGCCAGAGAAGACAATCTCTCAAAGACCTAGCACGACTGGGGTGTTGAAAAAAATCTCTTGCAAAGCCCTCACAAATGTGTGTTCTAGTTTCTCCAGACCCCGAGGCTGGAAATTCCTGGGAGAAGGTCAAACTGGGTTCTAGGAAGGGACTATGTAGTCAGAGATTCGAAGTCTGGAGCTGGAGAAGCAGCCCATCAGTTAAGATCCTGAATACTGTTCTTACAGAAGACCCCAGTTCTGCTTCCCAGCACCCATATCCCTGGGCTCACAACTGCCCCTAACTCCAGGGAATCCGACACCTCTGGCTGTCCTTGGCCTGCAACTGTGCTCAGGTGCACATTCCCATACCCCCAACCACATACAGGGAGACACACTAACACTTGAAAATACAAAAATTTGAAAATAAAGAGATCAGTCACCAACACGGTGACTATCATATTCTTAAACTTGCCGTGCATGGTATGAATGTTTTTAATGTCAGCATTTGGGAGGCAGGAGCAGGTGGGTCTCTGTGAGTTCAAGGCCAGCCTAGTCTACATAGCAAGTTCCAGGATAGTGAGGGTACAGTGTGAGACCACCACCAAAACAAAAACCAAGACCATATCGCAAAACCTCCCGGCATTTGGAACCCTGAGAGGACCTGGCTTTGAATGTTACTGTGTCTGGAACTGCATGGTCAAGGTGCTGCCACCTTTCTGAGATTTAGGTACATTCCCATCCAGTGGTCACCATGATCCCAACCACAGAGACAGAAATTATATGGTCGACTCCCTCCCCAAGGACAAACAGCTGAGACGTTTTTTGGTTGAGAGAGGCACCAGTGAGCATTCCCTGCTGAGTTATGCCCTTCAGTAGGACTGCCTAAGACACACTGGGCTTCCCATCCACCTCAAAAGAGCTGGCCAGGAACATCATAAGGACCACGGAGGTCAAGTCCCGGGAGACCTAATCAACAGCTTAAATGGCTCAAGGCTCCAGGACACTCCTGGACTGGTAGCCTACTGCTGTCACTGACACTGATCACTGATGGTGACCCCCCTCCCCCCACACACAGCTAGGAAGGAAGAGTCCATCCTGGTGCCTCACACCCAGTGTTTATTCCAAAGTAACCTAATTGCTGCAGTACTTGAACCTCCATTGAGGGGAGGATGTTCCAATTTCCAGTGCCCTCCCTACCTCACCACCCCTCCATCCCTCGCAGACCACCATCAAGCCCCCCCGCTGTGTCAAAATATTTTATTGGAAAAAAAAAGTCACCGTCTTCGCAAGAGGTGCGTAGAAACTCCAGCGACATAGGGACCGGGCACCAGCTGATTTGCCAGGTCTTCCAGGAGCCGACTTTGCAGGACAGAGCCGTAGAGGCCTGCACCCTGAGGCTCGGTCCCCAAGGCGCGGAAGCGGGTGTGTGCCTGCTGGTGTCCGGGCCCAGAAGGCCAATTGGAGGCCGGGGAAAGGTGTGGGCAAGGAGCGGGCGTGAATGCGCGTGGAGCGCCAGGCACCGCGGAGCTCCGAGAAGCTTTGGCCACGCTGGACACGACTCTCCCAGACTGGAGACAGAGACAGGAGCTCGCTGAGACCTGGGCTTTGCTTCCAGGCTTGCGTCCTTCCTTGTTTGGCCCCTAATTGTCCACATTCAAAGTAGTAATGAAATGTTTAGAAAGCAAACGGCATGGGCACGGAAGCGCCAGCTCCTGGGTTCCCGCCGAAGGCGCCGCACCCCCCGGCCGAACTTAGTCCTCGCAGTTCCGGTCGCTGGGCTCGCCGGGCATCTCTGCTGGCTTCTCTGCCTCCTTGGCACGCTCCTGCTCTGTGAGCTGCTCGCTCGTGGGGATGGAGTTCTTCTTGGGCCGCCCCTTGGGCTTGGTAGGGGATTCCAGGCCTCCACCCTGCAGAACCTGTCCCAAGAATGAACAGTACCAGGGTGAGGTGTGGATCAGACCAAGGACCACCCGGTGCCCAGGGCCCAGGTGGGAGCGGAGGATCCAACCAAGGTGTCACCCATGGCTTCAAGCCCTAAAGTTAAAGAGCTGCCGGGGAGCGCGAACCCAAGGTGTAGGAGTTAGAAATCGCCAAGGATGCTTGGGGTGGGAAGGGAGGAACATCAGCTCCATGGAGAACCCAAACAGAAAGAGCAGAGTACACTAGGTGGGCTGGACTGAGTCTTAGTGTGAGGAGGGTGGGGAGGCAGTCCTTGGCGGACACCGGGGACAATGCTCGGGAAACCCCGGCACACCGGAAGCCACAAGTCACACTCACAATTTTCTTCCACTTCATCCTCCGGTTTTGATACCACGTCTTCACCTGCAATTGGCTCAGGCCCAGGGACTCAGCTAGATCTATTCTGGAAAAGAGCAGCGCACACCCTTAGCAGGTCAGGCGACCACCGGCCTACTGTTCCCTGAACCCAGCCTCAACCGACACTACCTGTCAGGGGTGGAGAGGTACTTCTGCTTCTCGAAGCGTTTCTCCAGCCCCATCAGCTGCAGCTCCGTGAACACAGTGCGACTCCGGCGTCCTTTTTTGGCTTTGGTGCCAGGTTCCCCAGAGCCCGCTGCTTCCAGCTTCCCGCGGAGTCGACGCGCCTGCGGTGCCGGGCATCCCAGGCCCCGCGGCCAGCAACGCCGATCCCAGCCCAGAACAGCCGAGCGGTGCCAGTGGGAACTTGAACACTGCGGCCTGCTCAGCCTTCAACACCGCTGCAGGGGGAGAAAAGAAAGGAGCCGGGTGAGCTGGAGTTGAGCCTCCAAGGCCTAAGCACTTTGTGGTGCTTGGATGCCTGAGCTCGGTCTGAGCCCACCACTCCTGAGGAGAACAAGAACTTGAGTCCTGGGAGACCCTCCTTGACCTAGGTGTCCCCGGAAGTCTAGGACGGAGTATCCCTCCCACCCCAGCGCTCTGTTCTGCGCTCTGCTCTGGCGTTCCCATGCCCCAGCTGCCCCTGAGATTTCCAGATTCTTAAGAGCAAATTCGCTGCTTGCAGGACATAGAGCACGCCTTTTGTGAAAAGGAGAAACCAAAGGGGAAAAACCGGGTGAATTCGGAATGGTGGGGGGCTTTGTGTTCGGAAAAGAATGCGGTGGAAATGTGAGCATTTGCTTTTCCCGGCACTGTGCTGCAATTTACAACGCCGCCGACTGAGGCCCGGAGGGTCGCCAAAGAATCCTTTGAACCCAAAAATTGTCTTCCTTGTTTTCTCTGTTCGGGCTCCCCTCCCCCACCCCGCAAAAAAAAAAAAAAACCTCCGTGAAGATCTGCCATGCTCTCTAATTCTAAACTGGTTATTTGCCCGCTTCAAACGAATTTTCAACAGAACCGCTGATAGTGGAGGGCAGAGGAGGCTGTGAACCAGATGAACCTCAAACAGGCAAGCTGGATTGACTGCCACCAGGTCAAAACGGGGGCTGGTGCCGATTCTGAATTCCGCTAGCTGAGCTGGAGTCTTCATATTTCCTGGTAGGCTTCTCGTAAAGGAGTGGCTCTGAGCAAGGGACCCACCAGGGTGAGGTAGGCATAGGGAGTACAGTAAAGAGTGGGAAGGGAATCTTAGAAGGAAGAGGGGAGAGGGGAGAGGTCAACTCCATCAAAAGACGGAGTTGAGGTCAACCAAAGAGAGTATGTACAAACCCTATGCCCAGATGGAGAAGGCAGGCAGAACAGGACAGGCTGCCCCACAATCCCCCTAGAGACAAGACCAAGACAGAAAAGGTCTGAGCCTTGAGTGATTCAAGACGCTTGGAAGCCCAGCTGACCTGGAAGTGGAGGGTCCAGCAGGCAGCGGCTCACAACCAGGCCTCTTCCCTCAAACAAGGCCTAGGGAGATCCTGGCTGCCGCAGAGGCCTCGGTTTGTCGCGGGCTCTGGGAGGCTCCTGGATGCCATGGGCCGTCAGTACCCAGTACTGGGAGACATGACCCTCTTCTCCAGAGGACTCAGCTTTCTCAGTCTGGGCAGCTACTGCCATGCCCAGTCAACCCTCTACCACGAAACTCAAGGCTTCCCTAGACTGAAGTCGTTTTGATCCAGAGAGATCGGTTGGCTAATTTTGCTCCTGATGGGGATACAGGCTCTTGTCCCTGGCCTATCACCCGATTGGAAAACCGAAGCTGCCCTGAAGCAGAGGACAAAACTCTCTTTTGGCCCGGCCCGAAGACATAAGGCCTGGTTTCTGCGCAGCCCATTGCCCATACCCCCTATTTCCCAGTTGGAGCGTGTGAAGAGATGTGCCTGGGGCCTGCATCCCAGGTCGCTCCAGGAACAGAGAGGAGAAAGAGGATGGATTCTGGGCAGCCTCGTGACTCGACTCCCACCCTCCGGTCAAGACCAGTCCGGTTGCACGTACCCAGGTGGCTGTGAAAGGGCCTTGCGGCCAGCAGCGCCTGCACGCCAAACTTAAGCAGTTCGCCCGCGGCGGCAGCGGCGGCCGCAGGCGCTGCGCCTTTGGGCCCGGGCGGCTCGGTGAGGATCTCTT